CTGGGGCCTAGTGGATTGAACACCAGGCTGGGAATCAGGACGCTGGTTGGTTTTTTTTACCCAACTCGGGGAGGGGAGTGGGGTCTAGTGGTTACAACATGGGACTAGAAGGAAGGATGCCTGGGCTCCGTTCCTGCTTCTGGGAGTGGGAATGGGATTGAGTGGTTAAAGCAGGAGTCTGCAAGTCTGGATTCCTTTCCCAGCTCGGGGAGAGAATGTTGTCTAGTGGTTAAAGCAGGCGACCTGGGGGCCTTGCCTTCTGGTGTCCTTTTCTAGGTCTGGGAGGCAGGTTGGCATAGTAGATAGAGCATTGGGCCATGGAGCCGAGATTCCTGGATGTTATTCCTGGCTCTGCCCGAGACGTCCTGCATTACTTTTGGACAAGTCACTTGTGCTCCCTGTGCCTCAGTTTCCCCATCTGTAAAAGGGAGATAAAGAGACTGACCCCTTGGGAGCACCTTCCAGACACTCAAGAAAAGACAGGCCCTAACCCAAGGAGCTCACAGGAGCCTTGCAAGATCCTTGGATGAAATGTGCTCTCTAGGTGCAAAGGATAAACAGTAATGCTGCTATATGGTTATTAATAATAATAATTACTCCCACACTACCCCCTGGGTAATAGCTGCTTTCACTCCTACCGTCCCGTCTGCACTCCACATCAGAGCAATTCTTAACGACTTTTAATTCATTCAGTTAAACTCAAACAACATCCTGTGTGATTCTTTAAAACCCTTGTCTTTTATTTGCTTATGAGGTGGAACCCAGCCTGGCAGCCAGTCCTGCACTCCCCGCCCCTCCAGCTCTCTGTCTCTCTTAGGGTGGGGCCCAAATCCTGGGGATTGACAGCCTTTGTATAATTTGCCCCCCAGTTAGTGACTCTGCGATGGTTATTCCCCAGTGTCTAATCCCTTCTTGGCACCTACTGAGCTATTAGCCTCAATCACATCCTGCAGCAGAGAGTTCCACAAGTGACCCAAAGACCTTCCAGAATAAAAAATTAGGGGCAAAATCCTAACTTGCTTTGCACAGGTGAGCTGGGGGGTGGGGAAAGGGTGCAGGGAGCCCCTCTGCATGAGCAGAGCACAAGTGGGAGCTACAGCAACATTCAGGGGCTCTGGCTGACGCCCAGGAGTTCCACACATCCAGAGATGCGGCTTCCTTTGTGTGTTCTGCCATGAGGTGGCACTGTGCCTGGGCCCATCCCTCCCAAGCCATCCAGGAACATAAGAACAGTCACACTGGGTCAGACCAAAGGTCCATCTAGCCCCGTATCCTATCTTCCGACAATGGCCAATGCCAGGTACCCCAGAGGGAATGAACAGAGCAGGTAATCATCAAGTGATCCATTCCCTGTTGTTCATGCCCAGCTTCTGGCAAACAGAGGCTAGGGACACCATTCCTGCCCATCCTGGCTAATAGCCCTTGATGGACCCATCCTCCATGAATGTATCTAGTTCTTTTTTGAACCCTGTTATAGTCTTGGCCTTCACAATATCCTCTGGCAAAGAGTTCCACAGGTTGACTCTGTTGTGTGAGGAAATACTTCCTTTTGTTTGTTTTAAACCTGCTGCCTATTAATTTCATTTGATGCCCCCTGGTTTTTGTGTTACGAGAAGGAGTAAATAACACTTCCTTATTTACTTTCTCCACACTAGTCATGATTTTATAGACCTCAATCATATCCCCCCCTCCGTTGTCTCTTTTCCAAGCTGAAAAGTCCCAGTCTTATTAATCTATCCTCATATGACAGCCGTTCCATACCCCTAATCATTTTTGTTGCCCATTTCTGTACCTTTTCCAAGTCCAATATATTTTTTTTGAGATGGGGCGACCACATCGGCACGCAGTATTCAAGATGTGGGCGTACCATGGATTTATATAGAGGCAATATGATATTTTCTGTCTTATTATCTATCCCTTTCCTAACGATTCCCAACATTCTGTTTGCTTTTTTGACTGCCGCTGCACATTGAGTGGATGTTTTCAGAGAACGATCCACAATGACTCCAAGATCTTTCTTGAGTGGCAACAGCTAATTTAGACCCCAGCATTATATATGTACAGGTGGGATTATATTTTCCAATATGCATTACTTTGCATTTATCAACATTGACTTTCATCTGCCATTTTGTTGCCCAGTCACCCACGATGGAGAGATCCGTTTGTAGCTCTTCGCTGTTTGCCTGGGACTTAACGATCTTGAGTAGTTTTGTATCATCTGCAAATTTTGCCACCTCACTGTTTACCCCTTTTTCCAGATCATTTATGAATATGTTGAACAGGACTGGGCCCAGTACAGATCCCTGGGGGACACCACTATTTACCTCTCTCCATTCTGAAGACCTTCTGCTCTTTCACTAGTGGCTGTCTGTGGGTCTCACTCCCTGAGCTCAATGGGCCATTGCTGAGCCATTCACGTCTGCGGGTGGAAGCGGGAATACCCGCGGTTGGGGGTGTAAGGCCATAGATATCAGGGATGTGGAGTCTCAGTCTATGCATTAGAGGAACTGGGCTCTCTGCTCTCTGACAGACCTACCAGTAGGCGGGAAGGAGGTGGCCGGGTGTTTCCCACTTAATGTAACCCCCCCCCCCATGCCCCCTTCCCTTCCAAGGAGCCTGGAAAATGGAAATACCATCACCATGCACAGCATCCCATATGGTGAAGGGACACTCCCACCTGGTGGCTGCCGGAGGAACAATCAGCAGCTCTGCTCGCTGGTGTCACCTCCACCAATTCCAGCACTCAAAGCACAGAAAGGAGACCTCGGCAGCACACACACAGACGGCCCAGCCATGCCGTTGGCTGTGTGTGTGTGTGTGTGGGGGAGATCTCTTGAAGAGTGGGAGGCCAGGAAAAGCCATGCCAAAGGCAGGTACATCCAAGACCGCCCGGGGGGGGGGCAATTTCCCCCAGGCCCCGCAGGGGCCCCCACGAGAATATAATATTGCAACTTTTTTTTATGGAAGGGGCCCCCAAAATTGCTTTGCCCCAGGCTCCCTGAATCCTCTGGGCAGCCCTGGGTACATCCTCTTCCCCCCGCAGCTGAGCAGAAAAACATGCCAGGCCTGTGGCCTATTCAAGAGTAAGAAAAAAAGAAAGTCAATCGGACTTATTTCAGGGGTGCATGACTGAAGGTGCAGATTTCTCACACACACACACACACACACACACACACACACACACACACACACACAC